TCAGAACACTATCCGGCTTGGCTTGCAAAAGGAGAATGTAAGACAATCACTAGTTCTATACAGGAGCATTTATTCAATTATGGACACACTGCTCCCAAGTATTCTTCGTTAAAAGTGATCCACACAGTTAAAGGAATTGGATCCAAGGGGTGTCGAATCAATATTTTATGCGCTGATGAGGCACTGGCAACTCACGAACTCAAGCCCGAACATTGTGTGCAGAAACGATTTGTCCAACCTCCCACCCTTCATTGGCCCTAATTCTCTTAATGGGTATGTTTCTGTTTTTTTCTGCACTTTTATTTGATTAAAACTACTATTTTGCATTTTAAACTTGAAACAATTATTATTATTATCAGAATGGGTGTTGTGGAGATTTTAGAAATTTCACAGATTGAAATCATGAGTCAGTTGTGAGATAGGAACTCACTGAAGACAATGGTGTACGGTGGCGCAGCTTCGTGGATTGGTTGAAGTTAGACATTAACACCGCTAGATGCCGGCTCGGTGGTCTAATGGTTAAGTGCTCGCGCGCGGAGCCAGTAGGTCCTGGGCTCGAGCCCCGCGTGGTGCGGGATCGTGGATGCGCGCTGCTGAGGAGTCCCATACTAGGCGAAACGGCCGTCCAGTGCTTCTAGGTTTTCAATGGTGGTCTAGCTTCAACTGACTCATGATTTCAATCTGTTAAATTATTATTATTACCTTATACAAGTTTTCTTGATTATGATTCAGTCTATTATTATGACCTTTGTGTTTGTCGCTTTTCTTCATATTTGTCAATTGGACTGTTATCTGACTCATAAACGATTTTCTTCCTTACCCCTTGATTAGTACGTAACCTCATTTGTTATTTATCCTCGAATCCATTTTGGTGATGCGATTTTTTCTATCCTCCTATAGACATACATTTTCCATATAATTATATATATGAATGTACAGCTTAAGTAAATGATATCGTCGAAAAGAAAATTTTCTTCACTGAATTCTCTTTTTCTTATTCAATGACACTATGGGTTATTTTGTCTCAGACTTTGTCGTTCTTTCGTTCCCATACCAATCACTCTCTGTTTTCGGTATCTTCTCTTCGATCTTGTTAACTTTCTGCAGCCAGGCATTCCACTTTCGATTAGTGATACATACAACTTATATCAGTCGCACACCACAACAGGCGCATACTGACGAGGAGCTGCAAGCGCAGGCAAAACATTCATCTAATTCGAGTTTCCAAAGGTTCTCCAGTCAATATCAGTCCACATCGACAACCAGTCTTAGATGTGAATAAGTGAGTGATTTTCCCCAAAACAGTGATCACAATTAGTGTTTTGTATTGACGGAATTTATAGATATAAAAAAATGTTACTAATTTTCAGTCTACTCTAGTCTCCAATGAAAATGAATCATATTACAAACTTGTATAGGGTTATTAGTGTATTTCTGTCATAAATAAACATGAATTGTCAGTTTTAGTTTGGAAAGAACAGAAGATTGGAAGGTTAGTCCCGAAAATAGGGACTTTTGATTTATCTAACCTTCTATGAACACATTTCCTTAAGATGTTTTCACAACATATTGAGCTGAAGAGTCTAACTGGTTAACGATTTGACGAGAAAGTCAATTCCCGGTCGACGAGTAACTGTTCATAGGCTTGTTGACCTTTAAGTATATACTCATATTCTTGCTACTATATAAGGTACAAGTAATGAGGACATATAGGAGTAGAATTGATCAGAAAGTAGCTTGAAGATTGTGATCGGATTATATCAAGTCTTTCTGCATGATAAGAGAATATCTGATTAAACCAACATGTTCTCATGCAGAAGCTCAACGACACGATAGATTAACTTAGTTGATGTCCACTGAACCTTTTCTAAGAGCTCAATATCGTTCTCAAGCCAAGAGCTAATTGCTTCCATACAGCGCTCTAGTTTATGACTAACCCTATATTATTCCACATGTATTTATTCGCGATTTCACAATCGATTTACATTATTATTCACTTGGAGATATTAACTGGGAACTACTACATTTTTCTAGAACTCTGCGATATCGCCTTTTTTGTATTGTCCTACGTTTATTTTGGCAAGATTGATGTACAACGAAACTAACAACAACAAGTGACTAGGATGGTCGTTTAAACTTTAGAAGATATAATACTGGTGTCAAAACTGTAACCTAGAAAGCTTTGTTAAGCGTTATTTTGCAAATAGACAACTCGGAGTTAGCATATACTCACTTGCTGTGTACAACTGGAAAGTTATTTGTGTTAGACTGAAGTATAGGTTATGCTGATCAATCTCAATATGTACTTGTTACTTTTAAGAATTATTGTACATACCAAAATGATAAACCCATCCAAACATAAAATACGTTATTACTGTATTAGAGAAATTACAAACTAGAAAGAAATTATCATTACTCATTTCCTGCATGAGTTAATCATTGTACAAATTTATAAATAAGGTGAGTGAAAAATTCACATTATCCTTTTCTGATCATACTAGAAATAGGATATGCTCGTCTTAGTGAAAAAAAACGACTGCAAAAGTCACACCAAACATTCAGACCAGTTGGATGATAATTAGCAGATAAATTGGCCGATAAAATTTTCATCCTAGTTTATACAAAGTTTAGTAATTTGTTCTTTGTTATTATATACTTTTTTCTAGAAAATGAGATATTATTATCCAATAAACATGTGGATAAAGGCTTTATTTTATAAAATATCAATTATTTTATCTTTTTTCGAACTACTCCCCATTTGTGCTAATGCATCTGTCCCATTTTCGCTACTACTGTTTCAAAAATTCATGAAAGTTTACAGAAGTTGGGCTCCTTAGCTAATTTATCGTCCAACAATTTTCTCAACCAGAAATGTTCTGCTAGAATGTCGTATGCAAACAATTTCTCACAGCTTGATTCATTAGGAATAATTGAGACAGAAAAACCGGTTGGGAATCAGAATAAACTGAGTAAGTTGGATGCACTTATTGAAACAAAGTCCCATTACTCTCGTAATATCCAGTTCTCGCTTAAATCAAATGGAAATGGCTGTTTTCTTCTACGGGTAATCCACATAAACAGCACTGGACATAATTTTCCGTATAAGTGATGAATTTTCTCATCATTGTTAAGAATTGGAATTGATCAGTAGCTTTTGGCATATGTACATCCTGAATAGAATCCCTTAGTATTGCCATTTAGTCACAAGAACCTTAATAAAGTTATATAAAAGACGGAATGGGGAATCCACAACGCGCGTTTTGTCCTACGTTGGACGCCGTGGTGTGAACACAGGGATTCAGGTACAAACCGTCGTTCCTCTTATATGGCTGTAATAATTAAGTGAAAAAGAGGAGAAACCAAAGGAGAACGGAAAGAGTGTCATTTGCCATCAATTTAAAACTCTGAATTTTTTCAGTTGGTAAAAGCTTCAGACTAAAAATACATGGTTGACAGGACTATCAATTATTAAAACACTTCTAAACGGAGGACCCGTTTATGATGGAAGGATCAAGGCAAAAGGGTGCACACCAACATAGTGACTATCAAAATAGGCGCAGATAAAAAACAGTCACGCATAAAGTAGTTTAATAATGTAATAGAGGTATGAATGTTATTTGCACTTGTGAATTTTGACAGCACGGTTTAATGTCTAAAGTTGTAAGTCGAAATTGAGTGTTATACCAAGTAAATAGTTTCGTATCTATCTGTTCCTATAATCTTGTAAAACTACTTTAATCCGTGTTGATATCTCCGTGTGCTTTTTTCACGTCATTGCTTGATCCCTGCCAGACTGTTTGATTTTCAATCCATTTAGACATTTGCTTTTTTGAGCATCAATAAATTTTTGTGTTCGGACGAGCTGTTTCAAGCCTTCATCCCACCGCTCTACAGTAATGTTTGTTGAAGATCGTCCAAGACGAAACTGTAGGTGCTTCATAGTATGATTCGGGAATCGGAGCCTTAGATCCATACAAGTTAATCACTCCAGATGTCTTTAAAATAACTCACGAATACTTTGATTTCTTTATTCTCTACGCAGAATGGTGACTCCACTAAGATGTCAAATGCAGTTATAACATTCAAGACCGGCACAAGTTTTCGTCGACTGATGGGTGTGCAGAGAAGTTTTTATCCATTATATAGAGATGTTGACGGTTTGGTGATCACTGTAACCTCTCCCATATGGATACTGATAAGGCTGAATGTTGGTTATCAGTCATGGTAGTTGATGGTTCTAAGTCGGACATTGTTTATTCAGTTCTTTGTAGATGCCCACGAACGAATTTCTATTTACATTCAATAAGAATGTAAACGAGTGGATTGGATTTCATAGTTTAAATGATGTAGATGAACAAAGTGGTCGAGGTCTTTAACGTTCTATCGGCATGCTAATGAGGATGTTATCTTAACAATTCCAGATTCCGAGTTGTGGAAAATGTCAAAATGTGCTCTTCACCCAGTTCACTGCCACGCAGAAAATTCTCGCTGCTCAAAACATGAGACTGGCGAAAATAACGTAGGTGTTGACATACTAGTCTATTTGCCCGTTAGCTAATTCGCGTATATGATGGAAGGGATGGCTCCTAGTATTTATTGATCAAAAACTACTAGCCAAGGCACTACTACCCAATGATAAGAAAAGCTTTCTCATTCAGATCAATTACCTCTTACCATTCTGCATCTGTTCGTGTATTATTGAAGTCCTTGTGTCTGATAATTTCATTAGACCTAAGTCCGTATTAGCATTTGAATTCTACCGTACCATTGTTAAGATAATATAAAAACTCGGTAGTGACTGGAAGCAAAAGATCAGTTTTGATCGCAATGATGTACATTGAAAAGCAAGTCACAAAGTGCATACTAGCTTACTATTGTTTGGAATACTAACATATTAGAAAGATGTTTTGGAAGAAGTAGGTAAAAAGAACTAAAACATATTTCGTGTTAACTGAAAGGAAACGTTGTAGTCAATAAAATGAAATGGTTATGATAATAAGCTAAACACCAGAGAATTTTTTGAAAAACTCGCTTTCACTTAAAACAGTTCCATAAACACTGCCCGTCAGTGATAAGTCCTCAACTATATTAGATGTCATATCCCAGTAGAAGGGTAAAGTATGTAACAAACTTGAACTCTGTCCACGTATACATTCATAAGTTGGTGGTGGTGCTATCCAGCTGCCATCCTCACGCTGCATATGACTACGATCTGATGAAAAGTGATTTAGGTAGTCGACGCCATGGATAACGCGATAGGACCTGTGACAACAAATAGGAATGACATGGCATTGCAAACAAATATAATCCATGCAATACAACTGAAGAGCAACCTTTAAACAAATTTCCTGAGTAAAAGTTCATTACAGACGCTAACAAGCTGTTTAGTCGACAGAAGAAGCAAAAGTCTGCAATTTTACTAGTATATAAAACTCTATACATAAATGTATGCCAATAATAACTATATTCATAAGTGACAATATAAGTGATACGTACTGAATAATAAAGTATATGAATGGAGTAAACATCATGGTGTTTGGAGTCTGTCACAACTGTTTCAAAAACTCGCTTCCTTAAGTATGTTATTATTCTTAAGGTGGGCAGAATAAATAGCTGACTGCACTATTTTAGATTGGTTTCTATGGCTGTTTACTCTCGCGTTTCGGTGCATCGACTGTTTTAATAAAAACATATATTAAACATTCACAAACCTATCCAATGTGAACCAGAATGAATTAAAAACTGAAATAAAACAGCAATCAATGTATGATTATCAAGACCGTAACTTAATGGAGAAGTAGTGACTAACAAAATTTATTTCATCTAACAGCTTATAACATTTAATCATGTTTACTTTCTTGCTAATATTTGTATGTTATCTCATTATATAAAAAGCCTATCCTAATAAATAGCTGTCTTGTCTTTAGATACCTGTTCATAAGGGATTACAGATAGTGAATAGCCACCACTCAGTCAATTCATAACACTGGATATTACCCATCAAGAAATTTCATTCATTTCTCAACCCTCTTTCATAAAAATATATAAAATCACGAAAAAATTAGCAGTACGTACAAAAAACATAATAGTGACTTATTAGAGTTAGTACCAAGTATCGTCTGAATTTCAGTAGTCGTTTGTTAATTATCTATTTGACAGTAGAATTGGGCTGATTAATAGAGGAACAAAAGCTCCATGTACCAACACGCAAACACTAACAAACAAGATACTGTTACAAATCAAGAGACAAATTTACACAAGTGTGGCTATAGATACACATAATGGTCACATCTAAAATCCAATCAGCCTTTAGCATATACTTTGCGTACTTTTAGCTATTTATTAAACTAATAAAACTCATGTTCGTTTATATCCGTGACTGTTATTGTTTGACTGTTTGTTCCAGCTTGTGAATTTACTGTCTGCAGCATAAAACAGTTTTTTTCAAACTGTCACCTCACTTTCATTAATCAACATTGTATAACAAAAGATGGATCCTCACTGTAAGACAGCCCAAGTATTGAAATATTTTAGAACATGTCTAGTGTCAGATCAGTATTTAAAGCAGCAAACAAAGCAGATGTTCAACTGTCTAATAAACAACGTAACCTAGACTAAGGCTTATCCTTACCATGGTGAGTGAGAGTAACCGGATCGACAGGTAATAGAGCCTATGTGATGATTTGGATTATTGGGTAGTGTTGGCCTCTAAATGTCAATCGTATGGCGCTGCAGTGGGAGCGCTTCTATCCTGTACTTACGAAACTTAGTCTCTAAGCAGAGGAAGTTCAACGAGTTTGCCTTTAATCATTTTTTCACTGAAGGACCGAATTTAGCTGTAACAATAAACAATGTTGGGTTTTAGCTGAGTGTTTAGGAGTAGTGGGAATCAGGGCCCAATTGGTGAGAGTTGCTCTAGTGTTCTAGACAAACTATGCATATCAACACAAAGGTTACTATACCAAGCACTGCTTGGTGCCACAGAAACTAATTGTAGAAATTAGGTGAATGATTAGTTTATAACTTAGATTGTTGAACGAAGAGTAGTATTCGTTTAAAATATGATTGTACTTCATGGTTTCGCGAAAAGGGTTTTAGAGACTGGACAAGCCAGTGGCACGTACGGTTACCAAGTATAGCTCCAAATTATAGCCGGTAGGAATCTAATGGTTTCCAATTGTCCTCTATAAAGTATGTGGTGTACCTTTTAGATGAATGAGATCTGAAATGGGTGTTGTGTGAGCTATATTCTTTAATATCCATACTGTTATTAACAGATGAAATTCTCTCCTAATATTATCATGAACCATCGACCATTGAGATGACTTCATATTTCAGGATGAGAATTTCGTGGTTTGAGCTAGTATGGTTGTGAAGCCTTCATTGTTCTTCAGCAGCACGTACTTTTCTTTCCTCCAAGAATTATTTTGTTATAAATAATAAACACAGTAGCTAGTCAGCAATAGAGAAGGAACACCTCATGTAGTACGTTATTATAAGTTTTTAAACTCGCCATTGAAATTGTTAACCAAAGTTTCTCTGAAAAGGATGGCTTAAAACACTGTTGATACATTTCGAGTGACTCTTAGTCAATACCTAGTCACCCACTCATCAACTCCAAGTTAAATGAAGCTAACTGCCATCGTCAAGACATTTGAATAAGAAATGGATAGATACGCCTAACTCTTAGTACTTTTGTTCAAGAGAGAACCTGCGTAACTTACTCAAATTATTCAAACCGGGTTAGGAGGATTCGATCAAAGTCATCGTTGAAGTACACCCCAGTAACGTTCTACAATAACACTAGTTATTGGTATATGGTTAGTAATAACACAAGAATTGAGACTACAATTTACAGTTATGAGCAAAAGTGACGCATATTTACGACTGCAAAAATCTTACCTATGTAGTTCTTCTGGAAGAACGGTGTTCTGCCGGAGTCCGTGTGTTAGATACTGGACAAATGGGGTGGGAAACGGCAGTAGTGAGTCAAAGTCATAAACCCAGTAATTGGACATATCGTCGTATATGAGGAAAACGTGGTAATCCTTAAAAGAAAAGAAAACAGTAAACTTGGAGCGCTAATTACCCATATGATGAAATGGTCGATTTGAGGATCTCCCTTTACTTGGGCGAACAAACCAATCTAGTGTCTGGTGTGATGGACTTTGATGACAACTTACAGATTTGTTCACATTGGACAAAAATACAACGTATCCACACTGTAAGTTACCGAACTCCCTCAGATATTCTAACAGCTTGTACACATTCTCTTCACTTAGCCAGTAGAAATGGTTATAATTGTGACAGACCAGTAGCTGGGAGTGTAGGTGAGTTGTTCTTTAGCAATTTTCATGACTGAAATCACAAAAAATATCAAAAAAAGATCTGCACTAAATTAGGATGAAAAATGGATTCATTTGCCGAGCGCACTTTCGGTACATTAGGTTAGACGCTACATAAAGTAAAGAGCAAACGAGGAACTAAAGACCACATTAGAACAGAGAAATCTGCTAAGCAGAAAGAACAAGATAATGTAAATAATATTTATTTACCGTATATGCTGCAGTTGTATCAAAACAATTTATATCGATTGGGAGGTGGTCCCTTCAAATTTCCTCGGATTAGGTCCCAAATTTAAGAAAACTCCCAAATCGGGAGACAAGGATCGTTCGAATGCAAACTGGATTCGAGACGCAGAGAAGGAAGACTGGATTTTCTTTGATAATTAACTAGATTTCTCCAAATAACAAAAGCAATACTGGAGAGTTGAATAATGGCCAACGTTTATTGTGCGACACTGACCTTGAGAAGACCTACAGTTCACCGTGTACTAACAGGTTGAATAGTGCTTTGTTTGACAAAAGTTATTGTCATTTAAACCATTGCTAAGTCTAACATCCCTTATAGTTTTCCGAGATTTAAAATAGGATTTCTTTTTCAAATCAAACACTTATCATTTTTCAGTCTCAGTGTAGCGGACATAAAAACTCAATGTAATTGTGATGTAAATGAGTCCTTAAAATGGATAGCTCCACAAATCTTCGATATTGACGCTGACCTTATTAGTTTTGATTTAAGCACTCTAGTTGAATCCGCACCAGATCACCAGTGGGTACGCCGTGCTATGGAACCCTTTAAACTAATCGCCAGCTTAGACAAAACACTTCTCGACATAGACAGCTTTCCTTCACCTCTGACTTATGATCTGACTGTCTTGGAATCGTTCGACTGTAATGGTGTTACGAGTGAAGGCGTTGTCAAACTCAGAATACATGTGGCAACTTTTAAAGTTTTGCTTGGCAGTGTTAAAAAACTTTATTTATTGAGATCTATCTCTTGGTAGTTGAACTGTGTTTTTGATGACGGTTAAAAGATATGACAAAAGAAGACTAATAATCTACCTGTATCTCAGTTGCTCATACATTCCCTCTAATATATAGGACTAGTGAAATGTAACTGAACACTAGCCGAATCATCTGGCGTTTGGGTCACTGAACGTCGAACAGTTTGCCAATGGCCGTCAAAGTTAAGGACAACCAACTCGTGCCAAATAATCACGCACCGTGGACTGACCCATGAGGTGATGGCCCCAATCTCTTCCATGTACATACACTTACTAAAATATTTCTGTAATAATGTCCTTTGTGTTGCACGGTCTGCAAAGCAGCCGTGGTACCTTGATGGAACGAAGTGGTAATCCACGTTAGGTGCTGACCTCAAGATGCCACTTCAAAGTCAGTTATTTCGCACACCATTCTCGTGTAACTCGAATGGGCACTCAATCATTCTACACAGATCATTTACATTAATGACCTACCAATATGTCTAAATGTGTCACGGATATTCAGAGCTTAGCAATGCTTTTTCCGCAACAACTTTGTAATCGTAGGACTCAAAACACTGTCAAATAGGTAGTAATAATTGAAGGAGTTAGAATACATATTTGGAAGGTATTCGATATAAGTTATGTTATCTAAGCTGGCTGATTGTTATGATGAATGCGCAGCACATTGTACTCAATGGTGATCTGGTGTGAATGTGTGGCCCAACACCTTTAGCTAGAATGTGTCCAGTAAAACTGAAATCAGTATCAGTGTGGAAGACTTGGATAACTAATAATTTACTTCAACTCTGAGTATTTTGGAACGAGCACCTTCAGTTAGTTGGTGTCCAATAAAAATTCCACTGTGGAATATTGTAAAATTGTTTTTTCAAAGAATTTTTCCTACTGTTAGGGCGTTTTTTGGTATACAATAGTCAAACGAGAACAGAGAAACTATGAAGTGGTTTGGCTTTGTTAATCAGTCACCTTGATTAAAGTTATTATGTAAACTCTAAGGGTGTTTTAAATCAGAAGACGATAAGAAGCGGCGACTACACTTTACTGGCTGATAGCACGGATAACAAAACTACAAACACATCAAGCGAATATGAAACAGAGGGGCGAATGTATTTATGTGAGCAAATGTAGAAGCAAGCTTAAGGTCAAATCGAATAAATGCGAAGATAATAAAGGCAAATGCTAATAATATGATCCATGTACATATATAGGAATAACTCATCAAGTTATAATTAAGCGATTAACATTCAAGCTATAGAGATATATGTGCGTAGGCTGTCATATAATCAATTGTACATGATTATACAGGCAAGATAGTGATCATAATAACACAAGGAAATATGCGGATTGTCACTGTTTGAATAGCATTGTCTATTAAGTAAGTTAATAAAAAAGCTTAGCAAAAATAGACATACATTTTCCATATAATTATATATATGAATGTACAGCTTAAGTAAATGAGTTCGTCGAAAAGAAAATTTTCTTCGCTGAATTCTCTCTTTCTTATTCAATACCGCCATTCTTGATGTATAAATAATATTCAAGTAGGTTTTCATTTTGAACGTGTTAAGCATTAAACCAGACATTTTAAAATTATTACATGTATTTCTCGATCAGTTTCTGCCGCCTTCTTTTTGATTAATCTTTCAGCTTATCAATACCCGGAGGATTCTTATTATTCTTGGTAACCTCCGGCGCGCGACAATCCCATTCAATTTGTTATCGAACCAACGTCACGTTGATTCTGGTGGGAGAGTAGTGTAGTGGCATTGGGCACTAACACGAGACAATTGGAGAAATAGACACTCAACATTTAACACGGAGAAAGTCCCAACGATGAAGAAGTCGGGAAGAAGGAACTGAATTACGTCAAGTTGATCTGATGGCATAGCTCGGTCTTGCAGGCGTGGTTCCTGCTGAATGTTACCTTATATCTTTTATTCATATTAAATATATTCTTTTATCTCTAGCCTAAATTTGTTCTCTATCATATTTTGGTAATTGTTACGATGCAATGAGTTGGTGCAGACGATGATGTGACTTCCACGAAATATCTTATAGATTAGGCAGCTAAATCTTGACAAATCTACAATTACAGGATTAGGTCTATTAGTAGAGCACTATTAGTATCATAATAGACCATAATTCTTCAACTGCCTCCATTTCTCTTTCTTCTGGTGGTTGGCTGGATTATGAAGTCCTCGACATTTCAAGGTAAGCATGAAAAAAACAACCTCGCAGATCACCTAACTATTCTACCACATACACACTAATAAGTGAATGTGAAAACACTCAGTGTAGCAGCAGAAGGCTCTGTGTCGGTAGGCCTCAACACACAAAGACAAAAAAGCAAGGTCCTGAGATAGAAAACACAGAATACCAAACCAACCACATCTGATATAGAAACTCTGGAAGAAGTGGAATACCTCACCTACCCAGGATGCCGCATCGATGAACAAGGAAGATCCGATGCAGACGTGAAGGCAAGGATTGGCACAGCAAGCTCCATATTCCTATAACTGAAGAACACATACAACTTAAAACAACTGTCAACCAATACCAGATTCAGAATCTTGAATAAGAACGTCAAGATAGCTCTATTGTACCGAACTGAAACTTGGAGAGCTACTACAGTCATTATCATCATTCTATGAGAAGCGGCTTACCATTTACAGGATGGACTGAGAAAGTAAGATCATATCTGATTTTGTTGTATAAAATTCTAGGAAATGACTTTGAACTTGATACATCTTCTCTTTTTATTCCATCTAACTCAGAAAACTCTGAGAAGTAGAAGTGTTCAGAAAATGTTCACGACACAAAAGTTTTCACAATGTGTCAGCAACTCTTGAAACCGACCACCGGAAGAAGCGACATCCACACTTTCAATTGATTTGTTCAGAAGAAGAACAAACTCTCACAGAAGCTCACTAGAAAATAATTAAAACGGTCTGTAACCCCTGATTCCCTTGGCAAACTCGGGTCTCACAGGTCAGGGTCCTTGAATTCAACAGTGGTTCCCAAAAACTCTGTAGGCGATTAGTCCCACGTTAAAAGTGACCAGGCGTCACTGTCTAAGCTGAACTTTCTGAGTATTGTTCGGAAATCAACTGGTGATTTCACCGCACAGTCTACCTTCAAGAATGTCCGTCCGGTCATCCAAGAGCCTAGGAATCAGAAACGCGCTTTGACCTCTAAACAACAAGGTGCTGAACATGAACGCACCGGAAAACCTGGGAAAACAATAACGGTTTGTGATGACTCTCTCATAATCATGAACCTCAAAGACAACCCTGACTTTCCTCTCAGTTTGCCGGACAGAAATGACAGGATGCTCTGGGGAGGATTGAACAAGAAGCTGGAACGTCCTAGAATAGAGTTTTTGACGGTCACACGGCCCACTTGGAGAAAGGAATCTAAGCATCAAATCACCCGAGTCAACTTCGTGTAAAACTAAGAATGCTACCGACGTCGAGGATGTCTTGTTAGCTAGTCATTTACTGAAAATCGATGGGAACGTAAGAATACTGCCCGACATACCATATTCTGAGCGCAATCTCATCCAGAACATCTTTGAAGAATTTCGCAATTGTTCCGCGGAAGGAATATAATTGTTCAAGGTGTACCGGAAATAACGGACCCTATTCAAGCAAACTCTGACATTATGAATGGAAATTCATCGAGCATTCCTTGAGGCTCAAAAACCCGGCTTATAAGGATAACTTTCTTATCCTCCCATATGGTGGCTGCAACTCTGGAAGCATTTCGTGCCAACAAACGTCGGTTGCCAGCTGGAATCCATATGCACCCGGATAGGCCACCCGACGCCAGGATCAAGCACAAACATAAGTCGGAGTTGACCATTCCACTTGTGGACTGTCTTGTTCATAAAAAAACCTGCAAAAGACAGGGCCTACCAACTCGGCAAACCTTATATAGGTAGGCTGCCTGTCCATTCACGTAAGGCTCATACAGACAAACAGGCAGAAGCTCACGCGTTTCAAACTGAAAGCATAAACTGCTTGTACATGAACGCTGCGAGTCTACCAAATAAAACGTATAAGCTACGTGAACTTGGCAATGCTAATAAGGCTCATCTGATAGGAATATCTATAACTTGGGTAGCTTCTCAGTTCTCGGACCAGGAGTTAGCAGCACCTGGGATGTCTTTAATTCGCAACGACAGAAAAACAGGAATTGGAGGTGGGGTAGCCGTGTACGTACGATCTTGCTTGGAGGCACACCAAGTTCATAACCTCGGGTTTAACAATCTTACTTAATCCGTATGGTGCTCAGTAAGATTGTCTACTACTTCGAGATGTCTAGTCGGAGTCATATATAGGAAGCCCACCGCCGACATCGAGTACGACAGTCGTATGCTGGAAGGACTATCCCTCTCTACTCGTCTCGGTTTCACTCATATCCTGATTTTAGGGGACTTCAATCTCCCTAGAGTCAACTTTGCGGAACATACGTACATTGGAGATGAAAACTCAACTGAAGCTCGGTTCTTCAACCCCATTGAGGACTTGGGATCATATGAAAATGTGAAGTCGGCAACTCGTTGGAGAAACAGTCAGACTGTGTATTCACTAACGAAGAATTCCTAGTCGACAACCTCTCAATCCTTGCTCCTCTGGGAAAGAGCAATCATGCCGTCATAGCCTTCAGTTTTGTCATCAAAACTAAGCTAAGGTATCCCAACAATAATTTGCGTTGGAATTTTAAACGGCTGAATGTACCAGCTCTACATGACTATCTACAACAGGTGGTTTGGGATGTTCACCCTCAACTCGATGTGGATGGTCATTGGGACTTCTTACTGCAAACGCTGTTATGTGCTACAAAGCATGCAGTTCCTCAATCGGTCCCCAAAAGCTACAAGCAACCTACAATCATCAAGAATCGCACTCTTCGCCTGCTAAGCCGCAAAGGGCACTGTTGGGCGGAATACAAACGAACTGACAACAATGGGACGCACAATCAATACAAAAATATAAGGAACATATGCCCGAAGGGTATAAGAGAAGATAGGCTCCAGTACCAGATAAAACTTTTGGATAAATTTGTCTCCAATCCGAAAAGCTTATTCCATTATGCAGCCTCTCTTCGACAAGCCAAAACTGGAGCTTCCCAACTGCAAGCTCCTAATGACCCGACCAATAACGCCGGAGATGCCGCTAACCTTTTGGATGAACAATACTCTTGGACATTTCAACTGACCCACATCAACTATATTGATGACAGCTTCATCTGCAATTGCACAGGACTTTCCGAAGTGAACTTGAGCGCTGACGTGGTGTTCCTGAGAAAAAACACTTCTCCTGGCCCGGATATGTTTCATTCTGCTATACTGAGGGAAGCAGCTTCAGTCCTGGCAAAACCACTTGGCGTGACGTTCTCAGACTCGCTAAGCCGAGGCAAACTACTTGAAAATTGGAAGCTGGCTCACACCACACCAATTTTCAAAGGAGGTCGACGCAGCGAACCTTCAAGTTACTGACCAGTGGTCTGCTCTCTATACCTTCAAAAATCATGTAGTCCCTGATATGCGATGGTATACATGACTATTTGTTGTCCTTAAATTTTCTCATCCCAACAGCATGGTTTCAGGAAGGGTTACTCTTGTAAAATCAACCTGCTGACTGCGGTGGACAGATGGACGGGCATCCTTGATCGCAAGGGTAAGGTTGATATCATTTACCTTGATTTCTCAAAAGCTTTTGATTAGATTAACCATACATGTCTTATCAATAAGCTCAAACGATTGTGTATCAGACCACCTCTAATCGATTGGCTCACTTTATACCTGAAACATCGACATTTTAAGTTCAGGGTTAATTTCACTTTATCGCAGGTTATGTAATGTCCTAGTGGAGTTCCCCAGGGCTAAGTACTATGACCTCTTCTCTTCTTGGTTTATATAAATGATCTTCCACTACAGGTATCGCCAGACCTATTACGTTTTGCTGATGACGTGAAACTTTGAAGAGAAATGCGCAACCAAGACGATATAATGGCACTTCAAGGGGATCTGACCCGACTTCAAAGTTGGGCGGACGATAACGGACTTACCTTTAACACTCCAAAGTGTGAAGTAGTCCATCTGCGACATGTTGCAGACTACAGTTACAACTTAGAAAACTCCCGTCTATTATTATCCTGAGTCGAAAAAGATTTAGGAGTCCTGATACCCTACAATTTAAAGTCCTACGCTAACTGTGACAGAAATGCCTTTCGAGCAAACCCTGCACTGATAACATTGAAACGTATTCTTGGCCAGTGTGACATAAGAACTTTCTACATAATCTTCAACACTTTTATTCGTCCCCATTTAGAGTACGGAAACTTAGTACTTCCTCCCTCACTCCAAAAGGATAAGGACGCTCTGGAGCATATCCAACGGCGAACCACGAAATCAGTCCGAGGACTTAAATTTATACTTTATGAAGAGCGCCTCAAATCCCTTAACATTTACCCATTAGAGTATAGGCGTCTTAGAAGCGACCCTTTGATGGCTTACAGTAACCTTAGCTCTTCACGACATCCTTTAAACACCTACTTAAGCTTAGTCCCGATACAAAACTATGTGGTAACACCCAGAAACTAGAGACATAATACAGCAGGACGGACTGTAGACACAAATTTTTTCTTTAAGAGTTGTCAAATGCTGGAATTTGCTGCCGACTGAACTAGTTCAAGCGACTTCCCAGGAGTCCTTTAAGAGGAAACTCAACCTATTCTTAAGGACTAAGGATAACATCTTATTATGATTTACCAGTTTATTTTTTTCTCTATTACCGTTAATATACCTAGGTTCCTGCCTGGAGGTTTTGGTGATCCACTGCTACCAAACACGGAAGCCCGTTAAGCGAAAGCTTTTTCTATTCCGTTCACAACCATTTGGACCATTTCAAGTATATGAAATCAGAGATGTGATAAATCACGACCCGAAACGGCAGTATGACATTAATCCATAAAACTAAAGATCTGTTTCCAATATAACTTACAGTATAATTGATGGACATATATTTTTGTGAAGTCATAGATGATCATGGTTACAAATTGTGTTTAATCTACCCCTACAGCTGAGCACGTGGGAAATTTGTCCGCGCGAAATATGTCGAATACGCCCCAGGTAGTTTGTTTTTTACTGGATAATTCACTTTCACCTTATTCTGTAAGTTTTTAATCCGGAAAACTATGGGTATCTTATGGGACAAAATGTCGTTAGGAAGATTAATGAAGAAGGTTTTGTAAGTTAAGTAAATGGTAATCGAGCTGAAGTGCGTCTAAAAAACCCACATCACTTTCTGATACTCGCACATATTATAAAAATGGATTGTTTCACATTTAGAATCTTTTTTCGAGTACTAATTAGACAGACGCGACTCAGTGATGCGTAAATACGTTTGTGGTCAATAAATAACCCACAATTAAGCTGCAATCTCCTTGATATATATATGTATATATATATATATATATATATATATCAAGGTGTACCAATGAACGTATTATCCTCGTTAACCGTTCGGATCCGGTATATTAACGTGGTTCTGTAGTATGACATCTTTGTGTATAATATTTTTCTTAATTCACTGGTCTTTCAGTCGTATTCATAACTTTGACACAAGGCCTCGGTTATGATCATTTTGGCCACGAGGTTAATGATAATATGAAGAGTAATTTACTATTCGAGATCCATAAATGAGCTCGTGTTTCAATAGTATCTTGTATTTTTGTTTTATGTAGTTAGCATTTCATAAAACCATGAGGTGAAAAAACACCTAATAGCCTCTTTGGTCAGTAGAAGCTGTATTAGTTTCCTACTGAACAACTGGTGCAGATGACTGAAAATCTGTTCGTTGTTTATTTACTTAAGCATATAAACATCAGTACAAACGAGTACCAAGGTAAATTTGTGCAGTACGAAAAAAGATCATAAAGAATTATGCGAGGGGGTAAAATCAACAAATTAGTAAAGCGAACGAGAGTGATATATGGTGGGAGAAGCAGTTAAGTTCAGAAGACAACCGAAAAGAACCTCAGTTAAAGTTCTTGTCACTTATATTAAGTAAGGAAAAGCTAATGCAGTACTGCTACTGGCTTCTATTCTGAGCCATTTCTGATAACGTCTCAAGCCACTGTGTTGCACAATAACTAGGATTCCGACAAAGGAGTCGTGAGGGACCGACAGATTTCATCCCTACTTAGCTTTCGTAGCACAACACCATGCTGCAAACTGACCACCTGTTCGCTTTTTCCAACCAATCCTAGCGTCTGCAAATAATGCACGATTTGAAAGCTTTCACTATATGTAACGGTTGGCTGCTGATGTTCACTGTATGGATGACGTGAGGGCTTTTTAACGATAGGAAAGGTAGCTCTCTCATTCCACGATGTTTCCTAGACCCCTAAAATCCACTTAGTTTCCTGACCAGGAGGCTACCATCCTTCCTGAAAGGAGCTTTTTATTTTATTTGTCCCACCGTTTTGTGCTGAGTAACAGTGAGTAAAGTTCAGTTAATTCAGCAAGAAATATCGGTGCATATTTAATGACCGTACAGGACGATTCTACCGTCTTTACTGCTTATCCTCTAGAATTGGTTGGTTAAATCTGTCTTAACACCCTAGGATTTTGAGGTAATGCGTTCAAGTTGCTAGGATATATTTACGTTCTATTTAAGTACTGTTTTAGTTTGATAGTCGTGTAAAATAAAGCGTCTGAGCACACTAGGCCAAATAAGGAGACTAAATTGCGAGGCAACAGCTTAAGGTCGGTCACAGGGCCCTATTGAGAAGAGTTTACAATGTGTTAGCTCGGTACTTTAAACGGTTTGGTACCGGTCAAGGGGAAACGTTGGGTAAGATAAAATGCTGTTTATGGAGCCAATGTTTTCTAACCCCTCCTTCCGTTGTGGTAAAGCAGAATCGCTGCAGTTACTTTTTGTTTAACGGAAACACCGTAATGCCGTCAAAATCATATGCAGTCTAGAACACATCGTCCTCAGATCATAAGTTTATTTATTTATTTATTTGAACACATATATTGGTACAGGAGTGCGCCAAATATATATGCGCCACACAAAACAATGGGAATTTAAGAAAAAGAAAAAAGTGGGGAACGTAAAAAAGATATAAAAAAACAATAACGAAGAGATTGGTGTATGGTAGTGTAATAATAATAGTAATAGTAGGGGAACAGAAGGGTACAATCAGAAGAAATCCTTCAGGTAAGGGAGACACAACCGCTTTTTATGAAGAAAGTAAAAGAAGGTTACAGCACGATCGCCACTGGCTTCTATTCTGAGCCATATCTGATAACGTCTCTAGCCACTGTGTTGTACCATCTCTCGGACCCCAACCAGGGAGTCGTGAAGGACCGACAAAAGCCAGCCCTTTGCAGCTTTCTTTCATACCACGACACCGTGTCATATACTGACCACCTCTCCGCTTTCTCCAACCAGTCCCAGAGTCGGCAAATAATGCACGACGTGGAATTCTCTGGGACGACTCGTAGAACATGTCCAAGCCACCGAAGTCGATGTTTCAAGATGGTGACACTAATTGCATTATCGCCTCTGTGCCCGAACACACGATGCCGAACCTCTGCATTACTGACATGGTCTTTCCACTGGATGTCAGCAATCCTTCGGAGACAACGATGATCGAACACAGAGAGTCGTCTAACGTCCTCAACTCGGAGAGACCAGGTTTCACAAGCATAGAGCAAGACTGCTCTCACCGACGCGTTGTAAATCCGACCTTTTACAGCCAGACTAACATCACGAAGGCGCCAAAGATGGCCCAGATTGGCATAAACCGCTCTGGCTTTCACTATACGTGCATTGATCTCATCACTCACACCCCCACCAGCACTTATGCAGCTACCCAGATACACGAACTTCTCGACTACTTCTATCCGCTCACCATCCAGGGTGAGTACAGGATTAGAATCCTGCCAGTCTTGTGGAAGTACTTTGCACTTCGAAGGTGCAAAGCACATACCATACCTACGGACATTGATTGCCAACTGATTAAGTACGGATTACATGGCTTGGGCATTATCACACAGTAAGACAATATCATTCGCATACTCAAGGTCGAGAAGTCTTTCTCCAGGCAGCAGATCCACACCGCCATTACTTACATCCATCAGAGCTGTTTCCAGAATGTCATCGATGGCAAAGTTGAAGAGGAGTGGTGAGATTGGGCAACCTTGCCTAACCCCACTGCTTGAATGGAACAATGGAGAAATGTGGTTGTATGCCCACACTGTACCTGAGGTGTTTGTATATAGGGCCTTTAAAATGTTAATAAACTTCTCAGGCACACCCTTCTTCAATAGACAATCCCAGAGAACAGTCCTGTCCAACGAATCGAAGGCAGCCCTGATGTCAAGAAATACTAAGATTGTTGGCCTTTGATAAGTATGACGGTGTTCTAACATTTGGCGGAGGGTGAAGATATGATCAATGCATCCTCGACCAGAACGAAACCCAGCCTGCTCCTCGCAAATCAATATTTCTCGGGTTTTGAACAACCTACGAAGTATGACGGAAGCCAATAGCTTGGACGCAATCGGAAGTAGACTTATCCCCCGATAGTTGTTACAGGAACGACGTGAACCCTTTTTAAAGATAGGGACAACTATCGACTCATTTCATGACGTTGGTACACTCTCTAGTTCCCAAACCTTTGTAAACAGCGTCGTCAGTCCCTTAGTCATAAAGTCACCACCATCTTTAAAAAGAGTCGGAGGTAAGTCATCTGGGCTAGGTGATTTGTAGTGCTTCAAGAGTTGGAGTTCTTTGCGGACTTCCGCCTCATTTGGTGGATCAGTCGTCACCGGCCATGGAGAGCAGGACAGTCTGACCGATGTTGCCGGAGCAGCAGGCCTGTTGAACTGCCCTGCGAAAAATTCTACCCATCGTCCAAGACGTGGATGGATGTTAGTGATTGGCATCTCATCATCCTCACAGATTGTTTCACTCACACCAGACTTCTTGCTGCCAGTGGCTCGGATGAGTTGGAAGAGCTTCCGGTAGTTACCAGATACAGCTGCTGCTTCCAGCTCATTAGCACGCTTCGACCACCAGGCTTCTCGGTCGTTACACAAGCTTTGCCCAATTTCCTTACGTAACATCCTTCGTTTGTGGTCAAACTCACGGTCACCCGGAGTAGACCGACGGGCTTCGATGAGTTGTAAGGAACCTGCAGAAACCCAGTGCTTATAAGCGGGACGTTTCGCAAACCCACAACTGACTGTACCCGCCATTTTCACGGCGTCATGCAATTGCAACCAATGCTCATCTATAATTTTCGGTGGAATGGTAGCTAGCCTAGAAGCTAGCTCGATTCGATAAGTTTGTTGGCTTCAGTCTGACATCTGTTCAACAGACCTGTTTAGTTACGGTAAAACATTAGAATGCAAGTGTTCCAGTCAGTCAGCTACAACGTAGGACCAGGCACATATATGCATCGGTCCAAGTTGCCATACCTCATTAACACAACAAGATCAACACCGGATTCATAAAAGTAGTTAATTTAGAGGTGGTAATATATAAAAGAAAGATTGCAATAAGGATATAGTACAGGAAGAAAGAATTAGTTAGTAGAAAGAAAGATATGAAGCGATTCTAGTCTCTTAGTTTAAGGGAAGACAGGGAGTGTATACACCGACGCCATTGTGATCGATTCTGAGCCATGTCACCGAGAGTCTACAACCATTGGTTACGATAGTCACGCGAACCCCAACCGACTATTCTGCATCTACCAACATGGCTCAGACTAGTTAGTGACTTCAGGCACTGATGCCACGTTTTGGTTTGACCGCCCCTAACTTTCTTCCAACCATCCCCAACACCGGATAGCATTGCACGTCGTGGTAGTCGGTGTTCAGGCATACGTAATACGTGGCCCAACCATCTCAGTCGATGAAGATTAACAACCTCATCAACTGATTTACCATCATTCCCTAATACCCTGCTCCTAACCTCACTATTACTTACCCGGTGATACCAGCAATATTTTTAAGGCATCTGTGGTCAAATACTAGTAGCTTACGAGTGTCTTCTACTCTTAATGACCATGTTTCGCTGCCGTAAATTAAAACAGAACGGACTGCCGCGCAGTATA